TATTAGCTTCGATTCATAGTCTGCCAAACTTGGTGCTGGCTTATCGTTCAGAGAAGTCGGAGACAGTGGAGCGTGTTCAATGGTTATGTTGTCCGTCTCTGGTACAGCCACACCTTGAGAATCCACACCTCCTAGGGCTAGGTCTGCGAAGGGCTGTTGAAGCGGAGTATTACCCTCAATCTTCTCAGTAGCATAGTTGCTTTCCGCATGCACCCCTGGACTGCGTGCATAGGGCTGTTCAGTTTCCTCACCCGGCTGGCACAAGAGCACAGACGGCGTCTCTAGAGTCCGTGGGTTGATGGGAACCACACCGAAAGCGGAGCTTGTTGTTGAAGGGCTTGAGCAGCCGCTCAAGCCATCGGTCAAATCAGGTGTGTCAAATGTGGCCGATCGAGCCTTCTGGCTATTTTGGCTTACAACAGGCAAATCCAAGTTCCGGTAGTCAATAACGGCTTGCCAAGCCATTCCTTTAAGGCTCTCTTAATCCTTATCTTTCTCCTGGGCAGGGACAGACGTGATAGCCTTCGGACGCATTGCGTGGGGTTCCCAGAAAGTAATCTTCAGTTCTTTCGTACTAGTAGATGATGGTACGGAAGGCTTTTTGCCTTGCTTGCGCGGGCGTTTCCGCTGCATACAATGATCCCTGTCTGAAGTAGACTCCTTGTCCTGCATCGAGGACAATCGTTTCTTGCAGGCCTTCTTGGATCGCACACAAATGGTTTTGTGGTAATGGTGCACATCGCGAAGGTGTCGGCGGTAGTCCTGTTCCTCGGTAGCAATGTGGTTACAGGAAGGGTCAGCGCATTCCGATGGACATGATTTCCGATCAACATGCTCCTCAAGATGCTCTCTCAGCTCTGGGCTTCGGTCAAAAGCTCTCATCCTGCAGGCCGCAGGAAGCCGGTCATCCCACATACATTCAATACAGTATCCGGCACGGATGGTGGTATGGCGATACACCATCACCTCGTAGTGTTGGCTGGTCATCAAGGGGAGGTGTCCCGCACAATGCTCCTCAAACTCAGCACTCTTTCCATCATGGAAGGTGTAGCATTCCCAGCAATACTTGATCTGTTGAAGAGGGATGTGCAAGTCTCAAGCAGATTCTCGTTGAATACAAGAATGGATGCGCCTGCTCCGTAAGGGCTTTTCCATGCTGTGGCATGTTAGTGAAGGATCAATATAGGGAAACAGTGGGCGGCTCACGGTTCCAATAATTTACGACAGCTGGCAACGGGGCATCGCTTTTCAACAGGCTCCTCACCCGGACGATAGACCACGTCAAAATCACGAAGACATTGGGTAAAGAGATCCTTCACCACACTGGCTTTTTCGTCAAAAGAAAGTGGCTCGTTGGATGACATGACCGCCGCTAAACGGCCTAATTCGGGCATGAGCTTGCACAGTGCCTGCTTTTCTGCACTCTGCTCAATATGATCCGGGCGTTCGCGGCCCCTGGTCAGGATTTTCCAGTCCCGACGACTCTGGACCCATTGACTCTGGTATTTCTGCAACCTGCTCGAAGAGATCCTTCTCTTAAGGACGCTATATTTGCGCTTTGCTCTTCTGATGTCATCATCTGACTGTGCTTGCTGGATTTTTGCGGCTTTGGCGACCAAACACGGGTCTTCATCGACCTTCTCTTCCTCTTCTGTAGGTAACCGG